GTTAATTTGTAATCACTCTACAGGTCGCAATTATGGCCCGATCCTTACGAAATTTTGCACGAAGGTGGGGTTAGGGTCAGAATAGAACCCTATTTCTTTTGGAGATGATCGCTAAATGTTTAGGGGTTGAAATGGACCAAATACTGAAAAAATGTCGAATTTTGCAGTAGCTATACAGGTCGCAATTAGAGACCAATCGACGGAATTTCGCATGTAGCTAGAGTTTAGGGCGGGGAAGAATTTGGGTGGTCATCAGATAATATTTAGCGGGTAAAATAGACCATATCTTTTGTGTTGAAAAATTTCAAAATTTTTCATTAACCGTGAATATTTTAAATCCCGGCGAAATCGCAAAGCCATCACAAGGTTACTTCTGACCTTTACATTGATGTTAAGATCCAACAAATCGAATATATAGCAAAATATGTGCGATATATATGTCTATCAAAGAAGATATGCTTGAAAAATCTCTTATATGTCGAGAACGGCTGAACTGATTTCGACAGTTCTCATTAATTCAGAATGACCTCTTGGCAGGAAAGAAAAAACGTCTAAATAATCGCATAAAAATATCTCTCTAAAGATGAAAATATTGATTTTGTAAAATTTTCTCATATTTTTTTAATTTTGTCATATTTTTGGCATATTTTCATTTTGAATTAAACATTTGGTAATATTTCTACAGCTAACAAAACTAAGTAGTTAGGATATCATATACAGATCGCATTTATGGCCCGATCCTTACGAAATTTTGCATGGAGATAAGATGAGGGTCAGAATAAAAGCCAATTCTTTTTAGAGATGATCGCCATATATTTGGGGGTTGAAATGGACCACAAAACTGCAAAATTGTCAGCAGGTCGTAATTATGGGGGTTACCGGACATTGCAAAAGCCAAACAGTTTTGGATGGCCATCCAAAAATATTCAATGTGTGAAGGAGTTTGCCAACTTTTACAGACAAAATACGAAAATGTCCATTCCAGTGACTTTTTGGAGAATTCACAAATACAGGAAAGACGCATTTCTGACTATTTCGTTAACGCTGATTTCGTTGAAGAATATAGTCAAATGTCTGTATCTCATATAGATGCGTTTCAGTCAAAAACCCATAAAAATGTTAACCTTTCTGAGAGATTATAGGTCTTTGGGAAATATTGGTTCCAGATCTAGGAAGACCATTTAAGTGCAACATCTACCAATAAATTGGAAATGAGCAAATTAGTTTAAGTTGCTATTATTCGAAAAATAGAGAACGAAACCTGATGGTTTTCTTTTATTATTTGTCACAATATCTTGTGGAATTCTTTCGAGTATCTCGCCTATATAAACTGTATCGTTTATTATAGTGTTGTAGGGTATTCAACGGTCGGCCCCGCTCGACTGCTTACCCTTTGCTTACTTGTTTTTAGCTTAAACATTTTATATAGTGAACAATTATTTTTATTTTGTTCACAAAAAATTCACTGAATTCAATATGATAATACAAATTGAAAAAAATAACAAAAAAAGAGTAACAAATTGAAAAAAATCTTAAACTTGTTCGCTGTATTACAGCAAATGTTTAAAGATCCTTACATAGTTTGTCAATAGAATGTACTATTATTTTAAAATTCGATTCCATTGAAAATTTTTTTCGATTTTTTCCCGATTTGAGAATTTTTGCAATGAAATCTATTTTTCGTGATTTTTTAGCGATTTTGAAAAAGTAATTATCTTTTAACTTTGGTGTGACCGCGTTAAATTATTTCGATATCATCTATTCCGTTTCGCCACCACATAATTTAGTACTACACTTCCATGTAACCCGCCATCAATTTCAGTTCTCAAGAAATCAAGTCAATTAAATAAATAGGTATTAAAATTCACATTCAAAAATATAATAAAAAAAAAACACTACAAATGTACATTAGAAAAAAGTAAGTCAAAATGTAAAAAATCATGCAAAATAAAACATTACTATTGTACATTTCAAAAGTCAAAATGAAAATGTTAATATATCACATTTTTACACGATTTTTTTGGATATTATCCTTTTCGGAGAGTAGACAATTCCGAATTTGTATGAATCGTTAAAATCAGTCCAGCGGTTCTTAAGTTATAAGCGTAGTAACTAACACAACTTTCATTTATATATATATATATATATATATATATATATATATATATATATATATATATATATATATATATATACTAGCTGAACCCGGTGCGCTTCGCTACCCCTTTTGATTGTATATGCATTCAAAATTTTATTTACGAATATATGTTTGATAAAGAAAAGCAAATTTAAAAATTAAAAAAAAAATATTGCACTATTTTAATACGTTAATAAACAAAATCATTACAAAAGCAGTAACATGACATGCATACACGAAGGGTTTGTCCTTCGGATTTATTTATTTCATAGCAAATGCCAAGCGTGCAGGAAACTGCAATTTTTTTAAGTAGAGTGGTTTTTCTATCGCAGTTAGTGAATTCGAGATAGCAACATACTTCGCCGTAATAAGCGTATTTCAAACCAATTGTTGTGTTGTTTTTTAGTGTTAGCCTAAGGCGTTGTGGGTCAATGGTTCTTATTAAAATCATATCCCAATCTGATCCGATTTAAATATAATTTAAAAAAAATTACTTTTACACAAAACTCTGCCACACCTTTCATATTTCATTGAAATTGGTGCGTCAAATATGTGAAATCGGCCGAGAATATATATATCTTATATCCAAACCTAACTAATTTCCAATTAATTTATCACATTTATTATTATAACCAAATTCCACCACACATTCTGAATTTCATTGGTATCGGTCATATATATCATGTTTGGTGCATAACATGTATGAAATCGGCCGAAATATATATGTTAGCTATATCCAAACCTCAACTGATTTCAATATAATTTGGCAATTTTTGCTGGTGCCAGATTTTGTCTCTCTCGCTTTGGGTGCATCATATATGTGAAATCGGCTGAGTATATATATGGGAGCTATAATCAAATCTGAGCGTATTTGAATATAATTTGTCAAATTTATTTTTGTACCAAATTTAGCCACTCATGCCGAATTTCGTTGGAATCGGAAATACGTATCGTGTTTTGTGCATCAAATATGTGAAATCGGTCGAAAATATATATGAGAGCTATATCCAAATCTGAATCGATTTTAATATAATTTGACAAATGTATATTTGTTTTAATTTCCGCTACACATTCCAAATTTCATTGAAATTAGAGATACATAGCGTGTTTGGTGCATCAAATACATGAAATCGGTCGAAAATATATATGGGAGCTATATCCAAATCTGAACCGATATCAATTTAATTTGACAAATTCATTTTGGCTCCCAATTCCGTTACTTATTTTAAATTTCATTACAATTGGAAATACATGTCGTGTTTGGTCCACCAAATACATGAAATCGGCCGAAAATGTATATGGGAGCTATATCCAAATCTGAACCGATTTCAATATAATTTGACAAATTTATTTTCGGATTAAATCCCGTCACACATTCCAAATTTCATTGGAATCGAACATTCATATTGTGTTTGGTGCATCAAATGCTTGAAATCGGCCGAAAATATATATGGGAGCTATATCCAAATCTGAACCGATTACAATATAATTTGGCAAACTTATTTTTGTTCCAAATTACGTTACGTATTCCAAATTTGGAGACTGCATCTTCAACCAATCAATAGATATGTGCATGTAAAATCTAAATTTTTGGGAGGTACCTCCGATTCTGATGCTATATCTCCAGTTCCAAGTGGAAATTCAAAAATGTGTATAGCCTATGTTACTTTCAGACGATGTTGCAGTATATATGGAAATTTTCAGGAAAATCTATTCAGCGGTTTTCGAGTCCATAAATTACAAACAAACAAACAAACAAACAAACATACAAACATTTTCCTCTTTTATATATATATATATATATATATATATATATATATATATATATATATATATATATATATATATATATATATATATAATATATATATAAAATATAATAATAATATAGATGTATAGATAGATTAAAAAGTATGCGTGGTCAGTTCCTCAGCCCCCAAACCAATACTTAGGGTTGGAGGGAAGGTCAACAGTATCTCGTGTAATAATTTTTAAACCAATATCTGCATTATTTGGGAAATATAAGGATTTTAGATAAATCGAAATAGTGGGCGTAAAAGGAGGCGTGGTCAATATTTTTTTCTTTTAAAACCTAACTCGGGGTATGACAAACGTTTGTACAAAAAATTATGCAAATCGGTCCAGCCGTTTTCAACTGATTCCGTTACCAACAAACAACAATTGATTTTTATATATATAGATTTACTTACATCCGATACGAAATGGATAATATTGGTCCATTCCTTCGGAACCTACTCCATAGAGGGTTTACAATTTGAATAATCATAACATAAATATAAATATATGACAGGATTATAACCCTGTCGGCAAAACCGACACATCTTTTATTCCCCATAATTTTGCAACCTCTGGATCCATAATGTTGATATAAATGTTATATGTTTCAATACATACCTAAATGCCTGTATATATTTCAGGTGGCGTCACTCCCACTAAATACAGCATGTGTTCCAAATATAACTTTGAATGATTTAATAACAGTGGTTTTCACTTTTTCATGCCATCAAGTCATGGACGCTCATAATTTCATAGCTTTTAACACAAAACATAATATTTTATTTCGAAAATGTTCTACTTCCTTGTGAACTCGAACTTATTTGGCGTGAACTTATTTGTGTTCTTCTTCTGAAAATGGGTGTTTTTCTTCTAAGGAGAATATCCGAAATGCAAAATTTTTGTTTTTTTTTTTTTTTCTATCCAATTAAGGAAGGTCATGGTGCTAAACAACTTGTAAACTATAACAAAACTCTTAATATTCTCGAAATATAAAAACAAACGGGTTCTTGAGGAAATGCAACAGTGCCAAATCATCGCTGTTTGGTTGAAACTCATCAGAAGCGTCATGCAGTTGGTAAGCTTGAAAATTGCATTTTCCAAAATATAGGAGTAACACTACAAGAAAAATATTTTTCTAGATTCCCGTTTTTTTAATCCTGCCATTATTCACATCCTTTGCTTATGCCAATTACAATGAAAAAGATGCCATAATTCTTCAAATCAGCAATGCCAATCACCCCGACTCGAAGGGCAATTATCGTTATGCATTTGAGACCTCAAATGCCATTCAAATACAGGCCGCCGGCAATGCGGCTGGGGTTGTTGGTGAAGTGAATTTTGTCTCGCCCGATGGTAGGGTGTTCGAGTTAACCTATACCGCCGATGAGAATGGTTATCATCCATTGGCAACATTTTTACCCACACCACCGCCGATACCGGATTACATAAAACGTTCTCTGGAATATATAAGGAATCACAAACAACAGAGACGGAAAACAACTCGGCAGAATAACTGAACGGAGAAAATGAAATGTTGAAGTTCCAGTTCCTATATTTCTTAAGTGTTATGTGTTGTTGTTCAAAACTTTTTTTTTGAATTGAGTATTACTAAGTAGAAGAAAAAATAAAAAGAAGAAGATTTAAATTTATTTCGAGAAGGATCGGGTTTTGTAATTTCTGAAAAAAAAAACTGATGCGAGTTCTATGAAAACTCAAATGGAATTTTGAACACAATATTTATAGTCAATCAATCCAAGTGCAAACACCATAAAATCTGTAGGCAGTAGAAGACCTCCAGGCCTTCTATTAATAGCAGAGAAACTTAAGGTCTTCTAAAAGCAGTAGATTACCTTCAGGTCGTCTATAGAGAGTAAATTGTCTTAAGGTCTTCTATATGCAGTGCAAGACATCTAGGTCATCCATGGCCTTCAATTCATCTTCTGTAGGCAGAAGAAGACTTCAAGGCCATCTATAGACAGTCGAAGACCTCAGGATCTTCTATAGATAGTAGAAGACCTCAAGGTCTTCTATAGACAGCAGAAGACCTCAAGGTCGTATTTAGACAGCAGAAGACCTCAAGGTCTTCTATAGACAGCAGAAGACCTCAAGGTCGTCTTTAGACAGCAGAAGACCTCAAGGTCTTCTATAGACTGCAGAAGACCTCAAGGCCTTCTTTGGGCAGTAGAAGACCTCAATGTCTTCTATAGACAATAGAAGACCTCAAGGTCTTCTATAGACAATAGAAGACCTCAAGGTCTTCTATAGACAAAAGAAGACCTCAAGGTCTTCTATAGGCAAAAGAAGACCTCAAGGTCTTCTATAGGCAAAAGAAGACCTCAAGGTCTTCTATAGGCAAAAGAAGACCTCAAGGTCTTCTATAGGCAAAAGAAGACCTCAAGGTCTTCTATAGACAGCAGAAGACCTCAAGGTCGTCTATAGACAGCAGAAGACCTCAAGGTCTTCCATAGACAGCAGAAGACCTCAAGGTCTTCTATAGACAGCAGAAGACCTCAAGGCCTTCTTTGGGCAATAGAAGACCTCAAGGCCTTCTTTGGGCAGTAGAAGACCTCATTGTCTTCTATAGACATTAGAAGACCTCAAGGTTTTCTATAGACAAAAGAAGACCTCAAGGTCTTCTATAGACAAAAGAAGACCTCAAGGTCTTCTATAGACAGCAGAAGACCTCAAGGCCTTCTTTGGGCAATAGAAGACCTCAAGGCCTTCTTTGGGCAGTAGAAGACCTCATTGTCTTCTATAGACAATAGAAGACCTCAAGGTTTTCTATAGACAAAAGAAGACCTCAAGGTCTTCTATAGACAAAAGAAGACCTCAAGGTCTTCTATAGACAAAAGAAGACCTCAAGGTCTTCTATAGACAATAGAAGACCTCAAGGTCTTCTATAGACAAAAGAAGACCTCAAGGTCTTCTATAGACAAAAGAAGACCTCAAGGTCTTCTATAGACAAAAGAAGACCTCAAGGTCTTCTTTAGACAAAAGAAGACCTCAAGGTTTTCTACAGGCAGTATAAGTTTTATTTAGGCAGTAGAAGACTTGAGGTCTTCTATAGAGAGAAAAACTCTTGTATAGAGAAAAAAATATGTTAAACTCTTCTATAAACAGTAGATGACATCAAGGTCTTCTATAGACAGTAAAAGACCTCAAGGTATTGCATAGATAGTAGATAACCTTAAGGTCTTCTTTGTGCAGTAGTGGACCTCAAGGGCAGTAGTGGACCTCTGTAGATCTCCAGGTCTTCTATGTGCAGTAAAAAACTTCTTTAGATACAAACAGACCTCAAAGCCTTCTATGGACCGTAAAAAATCTCATGTTCTTCTATAGACAATGGAAAACCTCAAGGTTTCTATAGGGAGTAGAAGAGCTCAAAGTATTTTGTAGACAAGTCGTCTGTAGACAGTAGAAGACCTCAAGGTCTCCAACAGACAGTAGAAAATCACATGGTCTTCTATTGGCAGAAGAAGACCTCCAGGTCTTCTATAGACAGTAGAAAATTACATGCTCTTCTATTGGCAGTAGAAGACCTCAAGGTTTTCTATAGACAGTGGAAGACCTCAAAATCCTCCATAGACAGTAGAAGACCTGAAAGTCTCTTAGTCGAAGACCTCAGGATTTTCTTTATACAGTATCATGGTCACATGGTCTTCTATTGGCAGAAGAAGACCTCCAGGTCTTCTATAAACAGTAGAAAACCTTAAGGTCTTATATTGGCAGTAGAAGACCTCAAGGGGTTCTATAGAGAGTAGAAGACCTCAAAATCCTCCATAGACAGTAGAAGACCTCAAAGTCTCCATAAACAGTAAAAGACCTCAAAATCCTCCATAGACAGTAGAAGACCTCAAAGTCTCCATAAACAGTAAAAGACCTCAATGTCGTCTATAAACAGTAGAAGATCTCAAGGCCTTCTATAGACAGTAGAACCTTCTTTGGGCAGTAGTGGATCTTAAGATCTTCTGTAGGCAGAAGATCTAATGACATTTTTTAGATAAAAGAAGAGCCTTAGGCCTTCTATGGCCCGTAAAAGACCTCAAGTTCTACAGCCAATGGAAGAGCTCACGGTCTTCTTCAGGGAGTAGAAGACCTCAGTCAAGGGTCTCTATAGGCAGTTCAAGACCTTAAGAATTTCTATAGACAATAGAAAATATGATGGTCTCTATGGGCAATAGAAGTCATCAAGATCTAATTCCCAAGAGCGACCCCTTTCTTTTTGAGACAAAAAATGCTGTTTGAGCATCTCAAATTTTCCACCTAAATAGATTATCCAACGTTTCGAAATATGTGTAAAACAAAATCTTTTTGAACTTTTCAAATGAAAATCTCGCAAGACTTAGATGTCAAAATAAAATAGAAATCCTTCATCACAACTTAAAAATGACACCAAAAAAACGAAAACGTTAAAAACGCAACTGCATCTCAATGCAAAATAATTTACAAGAATTAATCAAATCAAGTTTATGCAAATAGTGCAACACCAGTTGAGACGCAACGCATCAACTAATGTGTGGATGGACGGGCAGACAAACGGATAGACTGGCCGGTCGACCTGCAAACAAATAGTAATTTAATTTGGCTTAAAAAAGCTAGAAAACGAATTAAGTCAACCGAGAAGAAAAATTCCAACAAGGCGTATAAAAACTTCTGTGAGGCCAAGAAAATTAAGCAGTTCTCAGTCATCATCTGAAAGCAGCGGGTGTTTTGTATTCAAAGTTTTGTTTTCGAAGGAAAATCTAAAGAACAATATGAAATTCGTAAGATTTTAAAAATAAATGTGAACATATTTAGGTTAACGGACCTTTTTTTCTTGCAGTTCCTTTGCCTAGTCCTCATCTCAATGGCCGCCTGGGTGTTGTGTGACAACATCGACAAGGATGCCCAAATCCAAAGTCTAGTCAATGAGGCTGCCGATCCAGAGGGTAATTTCCATTATGCCTTTGAAACCTCAAATGGCATCCAGGCTCAAGAGGCAGGCAATGCCCAGGGTGCCACCGGCTCCTTTAATTACATTTCACCCGAAGGCGAACACATTTCTCTGAGCTACACCGCCGATGAAGAAGGCTATCATCCTGTCGGAGATCATTTGCCAACCTCACCACCAATACCCGCTGAAATCTTGCGTTCCTTGGAATACATTCGTGCCCACCCACCAGCCAACTATCAGGAGAAGAAGTAAATAAAATGGAAGTTGCCGTAGTTAGGAAAGGAGGAGCAAGAAATGTTGCAATCACCAAGTTATATTTTGTCAGCAAGGACGAAGAGAATGTTATTCCATGTTTTCATCCCAACCAATTTACCAAGCAACCATATAATGCCATTATAGCGTGCATTCTTATTATTTTCTATCATTTTTTTTTCTTTATTATTAATTGTTAAGGCTGTAAATAACACACACACACACATCAGTTAGAAGTTCTCAGTTATGCTAAGTTAAGGAGAAGTCACTTCAAATGTTGTGCGAAAAGAAATAAAAACTATGCAAGTCAATAAAATGTGAATAATCGAAACGAAATAGGATGGAGGAAGGTTATTCCTTAAAAAATAGAAAGGCAAATAAATTAGGTTCCTCATCAGAAACTGATGAAGTGAGGTTCCTCAGTAACAAGTATCCAGTATCATCAGCTGATTGATGTTTGGTGCTGACGTTGCAAAAATATTTACAAATTTCGGGCAATAATTGAATTTATTTTCAGACAATAACCATTCAACATTATATCACAACTAAAGAATATGAATATGAGAATACATAATACAGGGTTGCCCATATTCGACGGACCTTTGGGCCATTTGGGCCCATTCCAAGGAGGCTTGTCCGCAGGCAACATTCTTTGCGTCAATTAAATTTTGTACGGGAACAAATGCAAATCAATGCGAATAATCCGTTGTAAAGTGGACCGAGCCATGCCCAACTGCTGAGAACGGCGTTTTTGGGATGTTCTTGGGGACCTCTCAACACTGGCTCGTACGGCAGCGATATTCTCGGCCGATCGCCTTGGTCGACTTTTATATGGCCTCTTCGGATTAGAAAGAGCCTTACCAGTCGAAAATTTTTCGTATAAACGCTTAATAGTGTTCTTAGAAGGCGCACTTCTCACATTTTTTTCACAATTGACTTCTTCTCTTGAATGGAAATTTCAACTATTTCAGAGCGCTCGCGTGACGTGTATTGGTTCATGGTAAAAATCTGCTTGGACTAACGCTTCAAACGCGGTATGTCATTAATCGATGTGACATCTCTGTCAAAAGTTATGGCGTTGCCAAATGGGTCCGTCGAATATGGACAACCCTGTATTAATATTTGGACCCTATGAAAAGTTTTAAACATCTCAATTTTTTCAGCTATAATTTATAACTTTAATTTTTCAATATGGCTGCGATCAATGATTGAAATATACGTTTGGGCCATGTTGAATTATCGACTTTAAGAGTCTGAGAAAAAAAATCTTAAACATATACGTATGGAGCGTAAGAAAAATATTTAGAAGAAATCCACTTTAGTGTCCTGAAAAAATATAAAAACTAGTGTAAAAGGAGGAGTTAAAAAGCAGCTAAGTTTGGCCGGGCCGACTAGAAAAATTAAAAAAAATCCGTCAAAAAATACCGTTCAAATGAAATCCGTTAGCCAAGTCATGCTAGGAACACAATTGGAGCGAACGACGAATTTTTTCGCGGCGTATGTTCGTCGTCAAAAATAAAACACATATGTGTATATGGAAGTGCACACAATCACGGCACCGGCGAAAATTTCGTCGGTCGCCGCGAACTCAATTAGCTTTATTTCTATTTCATACGCCGGCGACCGGCGAACAAAACAGTACAAGGTGGCCATACTTGTACGAATTTTATGTGTTTTAGTAAATAAAGTTACTTTTTACTTTAAAATTTGTTATGGTCACTCTACTATCTGTTACTCGTATAAAAAAAACATAATTAATTTGTTTATTTATTTGTGTACTTGCGCCTGAGAGAAGATGGATATCAGTGAATTTATAATAGAGAAGATGGACATAAGTGAAATTATAATAGAGAACGTAAAGAATTATGTGTTCTTGTATAACTTCATCAGCTGTTTTATAATTTCGTCGGTATTGTGTTCCATACGACGAATTTTCGCGGCTCATTTTGTCGCCGCGTAGGGCGAAATTCGTCGTTCGCTCCAATTGTGTTCCTAGCATCATTTGTGTCATAGGCTGCAGTAACGGTTCCGAACTTTATATTCGAAATTTCAATTCAGGTGAATAATGTCGCAAAAATCATGAAAATACTGAATATCCGGGGGTAGCGTTATATGGACGCTATATTAAAACGTGACCTATGTAGACATTTTTCTTCTAGGGGGTAAAATACTCAGAAAGAACCCCTTGTGTATTTAAGACAATTCCAATTCCAATTCCATCCGATATTCGGTATTCTGATGATTTTAGCCACATTTTTTAATGGTATTGTCTAAAAATCCACACAAGGAGTTCCCTGTGAGAACTTTATCCCCTGAAAGAGAATTGTCTATACAAGTCCACAATATCGTATATCCCCAATTCCAATTCTGTTATATGGGGGATATACGATATTGTGGACTTGTATAGACAATTCTCTTTCAGGGGGCAAACTCCTTTACACATTGAATATTTTTGGATGGCCATCCGAAACTGCTTGGCTTTTGCAATGTGCGGTAACCCCCATTCAAATATGCGTGAGGATCGGGCGATAATTACGACCTGCCGACAATTTTGCAGTTTTTTGGTCCATTTCAACCCCTAAATATATGGCGATCATCTCCAAAAAGAGTAGGCTTCTATTCTGACCCTCATCTTACCCCCATACAAAATTTCGTAAGGATCGGGCCATAAATGCGATCTGTATATGATATCCTGATAATCTAACTACTTAGTTTTGTTAGCTGTAGAAATATTACCAAATGTTTAATTCAAAATGAAAATATGCCAAAAATATGACAAAATTGAAAAAATATGAGAAAATGTTACAAATCCAATATTTTCATCTTTAGAGAGATATTTTTATGCGATATTTTAGGCGTTTTTTTCTTTTCTGCCAAGAGGCCATTCTGAATTAATGAGAACTGTCGAAATCAGTTCAGCCGTTCTCGACATATAAGAGATCTTTCAAGCATATCTTCTTTAATAGACATATATATCGCACATATTTTGCTATATATCCGATTTGTTGGATGTTAACATCAATGTAAAAGCCAGAAGTAAACTTGTCATGGCTTTGTGATTTCGACGGGATTTAAAATATTCACGGTTTAATGAAAAATGTAGAATTTTTTCAACACAAAAGATATGGTCTATTTTACCCGCTAAATATTATCCGATGACCACCCAAATTGGTAGGCTTCTTCCCCGCCCTAAACTCTAGCTACATGCGATTGGTCTATAATTGCGACCTGTATAGCTACTGCAAAATCCGACATTTTTTCAGTATTTGGTCCATTTCAACCCCTAAACATTTGGCGATCATCTCCAAAAGAAATAGGCTTCTATTCTGACCCTAACCCCACTTTCGTGCAAAATTTTGTAAGGATCGGGCCATAATTGCGACCTGTAGCGTGATTACAAATTAACATGGACAGTCGGACGGACGGACATACATAGCTAGATCGACTCAGCTCGGCGAGCTAGGAAGATCCATATATACTTTCCTATATGGGAAACCAGTATTTCGAGGTGTTACATAAATTCTGGCCCAATCAAACTTATAATACCCCCAACACATAGTGTTGTAAGAAACAATCCTTGATATTCCGAATGATTTTTAAGTACTCCAATTATGTATCCCAAAATCCTGAGGAAATTTTCCATTACAATCAAGGGGTATTTAGAGCATTTAGGGTAAATTAGTAGGGTATAACATGGTCGACCCCGCCCGGCTATAGTAGTTTTTTATACCCTCCACCACAAAGTGGTCAGGGTATTATGTCTTTGTGCATTTGTTTGTAACAGACAAAAGGAAACGAGATAGACCCATAGTTCTTTTTGATGATCTGCATAGAATCACTTTCTGAGTCGATTTATGCATGTCAGTCCGTCTGTCCGTCCGTCTGTCCATGTATTTTTGTGAAGAAAGTACAGTTCGTGTTTATTACTCGATCCAGATGAAATTTTGCACAAATCATTTGTTTGACCCAAGGACAAACCCTATTGAAATTGGAGATAATCGGTCAAAATTTTGATACAGCTCCCATATATATCTTCGTCCGATTTGTCTTTTATTGTGCACCAAACGTCTAATATTAGCCCCAATAGGATGGAGTTTGGCACTTACGATCAAATTGAGTTTAGAAAAAGGTATGTCAAATTTGGTGAAAATCGGTTCAGATATAGCTACAGCTCCCATACATATTTGTTCAATTTGTCCTACGCAGCCGCAATGTGCACTCCATAGTAACGATATTCGGGGTATCAAAAATAGCCCAGAAATATATTGCCGAATTTTATCGAGGTCGGTTAAAATTTGGATGTAGCTCCCATATCTTTATCCGATTGAAGTTAATTGTGCACCAAATTGGTAATACAAGCCCGAATTGTTAAGACACAAATGCCTCGGCATATTTAGTAGAAATCGATTCAGTGGAGGATATTCTTCTTATATATTTGTTCCTTTGGACTTTAAATTATAAATATAATCGCTGTTGGTATGATTGAATTCTCACAAATTCCCCATAAAAACTTTTAGTTGTTATGTGAAGCTACACTAAGTATGCAAAGTGGTGTATGGTATCATAAAGTCGGCCCCGCCCGACTTCAAGTCTTTCTTTACTGGTTACTTATTGAATATGCAAGTGATACAAAATATTATTTTGAGTATGAATGAAGCTGCGGACATAATATCATAACGTAAATGTGTATTTTATTTATGCAACCGTTTGATGATTTTAATGTCTAAAATGATTTATTGAATATTAAAAAAAAAGCTTCTAGTGCTGAGTTAGTAAATGAAACATTTTTTTTTATTCGGGCAATAAATATATTTTGAAAGTAAATGTTCCACAGTAAATAAAAATACATGACGTCTAAATGCATAATTTCTAAATTTTCCCATTGGATCAAATATTAGATAAAACAACTTATTAAGGAAATTCTCGATTCAATTGCAACGAGAAAAAAAATAGTATTATGGGAGTGATGCAATTGATTTCGAAATCCACAAAATAAGAAATATATAAAACTGCTAACATTCCACAGAGTTTCAGGCAGTCATACAAAACTCTTCAAATTTAAATCAACATCAAAATGAATTTGGTAAATTGGTTTAATTTGAAAAAAAAAATGTTATTATACAAAACTAATGTCTACATTTTAATTTCAGTCAATATTTTTCGTCCTTTTGGTCCTGTTCCCCTTGGCGTATGGCAGACTCATCGATCGGAGAGCCCGAATTATACGTTCGAAATATAAGAGACCGGATAAGAGGGGAAACTATTATTATGCTTTTGAAACAACGAATCGAATTCAAGTCCAGGAGGCCGGTAATCCCGTAGGAGTAACGGGTGAGGTGAATTATGTTTCACCTGAAGGTCGTGTCATTGAATTGAAATATACTGCCGATGAGAATGGCTTCCATCCCGTGGGTAAACATCTGCCAACACCGCCACCCATTCCCGATTATATTCTCCGATCATTGGAATACATAAAAGCTCATCCCAATTCGGAAAATCGTGGAATGCAAATGAAGCCGAAGAAGACGAGGTCTAGGAAATATGGGCGTAATAAGAAACGGATGTAGATTGAATTTGAATGTTAAAATTAAACTATGTAATATTGAGTGTTAATACTAGAGATTTGAATTAATAAATTGTAACAAAAAATATAAAAAACTAAACTAAAACTAATCGCAGGTTTGAACGATGATATCTTTTTTACATACATTTCTGAAGAAAAACCAGTAAGGAAAGCTCAAAAGTCGGGCGGGGCCGATTATATGATACCCTACACCACTATGCATATTTAGTAGAGCTCTCGTAAAAAGGTTTATACAGGGCATTTCAGAGCTCTATGAGATATTTGGTACAAAATCAAAATATATCTAATTCTATCGTGCATTTTACGAACTATATCTATCTCTGAACCGGGTTTCTCCAAATTTGACGTATTAGCTTCTAGACTGAATTCGGTCTTATGTACGAAAATTCATGACATTTGGGCTGATATTGGTCATTTGATGCACAATTAACACGAAATCGGATGAAGATATATATGGGAGGCATATCCAAATCGGAACAGATTTTAATAAAATTAAAATCAACTATTTTTGGGCTTTATCTGATATCTGGTACCAAATATCATTCCTGTGGAGTGCATATTACGTATGTGAGGGACTAAAACACTATATCAGATGAAAGATATATATGGAAGCTATAGCTATATCTGAACCGATTTTTACTAAAATTGGTGTACTTGCTTCTAAGCTGGTTTCGGTCGGATTTGCCAAAATTGATGCTATTACGGCCATTTGGTGGTCAATCACCCGAAATCGGATGAAGATATATATGGGAGCTATATCCAAATCTGAACCGATTTCGATAAAATTTAAAACAGCTATTCCTGTGCTCCATCTAATACCTGGCACCAAATATCATTCCTGTGGAGTGCATATTACGAATGTGAGGGACTAAAACACTATATCAGATGAAAGATATATATGGAAGCTATAGCTATATCTGAACCGATTTTTACTAAAATTGGTGTACTTGCTTCTAAGCTGGTTTCGGTCGGATTTGCCAAAATTGATGCTATTACGGCCATTTGGTGGTCAATCACCCGAAATCGGATGAAGATATATATGGGAGCTATATCCAAATCTGAACCGATTTCGATAAAATTTAAAACAGCTATTCCTGTGCTCCATCTAATACCTGGCACCAAATATCACGGTTGTGGAGTGAATATTACGAATGTAAGGGACTAAAACACTAAATCGGATGAAACATATATATGGTTGCTATATCTATATCTGAACCGATTTTCACTAAATTTGATATACTTGCTTCTAGGCTGAATTTGGTCCGATGTACTAAAATTCAGTCCATTTGGACTTATATCGGCCATTTGGTGCACAATTAACTCGAAATCGGATGAAGATATATATGGGAGCTATATCCAAATCTGAACCTATTTCAATAAAATTACAAACAGCTATTTCTGGGCTGTATCTTATATCTGGTACCAAATATCATTCTTGTGGAGTGCATATTACGAATGTGAGAGGCTTAAAATATAGCTGTTTCTGAACCGATTTTCTCCAAATTTGTTGTATTTGCTTTAAGGCTAATCTCGGTCACATATGCCAAAATTCGGCCATTTGGGCTGATATTGGCCATTTGGTGGTCAATTAACCCGAAATCGGATGAAGATATATATGGGAGCTATATCCAAATCTGAACCGATTTCGATAAAATTTAAAACAGCTATTTCTGTGCTCCATCTAATACCTGGTACCAAATATCACGGTTGTGGAGTGCATAGTAGGAATGTGAGGAACTTAAAGATCAAATCGGATGAAAGATATATGTGGGAGCTATAGCTATATCTGAACCGATTTTCTCCAAATTTGATATACTTGCTTCTAGGCCGAACTCGGTTGGGTGTGCCAAAATTCAGGTAATTTAGACTGATAGTGGACATTTGGTGCACATTTAACCCGAAATCGGATGAAGATATATATGGGAGCTATATCTAAATTTGATCCGATTCTCACCAATTTCAATAGGGTTCGTCCTTGGGCCAAAAAAATATTGTTTGGAAAATTTCATCTCAATCGGATAATAAATGCGACCTGCATTTTGTTCACAAGAATACATGGACAGACGGACGGACGGACGGACGGACAGACGGACTGACATGCATAAATCGACTCAGAAGGTGATTCTATGAAGGTTCTCAAAAGTAACTATGGGTCTATCTCGTTTCCTTCTCCATGTTACAAACAAATGCACAAAGACATAATACCCTTACCACTATGTGGTGTAGGGTATAAAAAGAAACTATTAGAGTTACATAACTGGATTGATTTGTTAGGAATATTCGTTTATAATAATCGTTCGGAGATTATCAGAGTGAAAAACCATTTTGCGTACTAAGTATACATTTCGACGATCACCTTAATGTATCAAATTTGCTGTCCAACCTTGATTCTCATTACAACGTTTTTACCACTATCGGTTCATATGGTATCATATTAGAAGTTCAGTACAATTTTAGAACTTTTTCGTAACTTTAAAGTTCGAGTTTCCCAAAAAGCCTTTGGTACATCTATCTTGCACCGCATCAGTGACTCTCATTTCAAATTTTAGAATTCTAGATCATTTTGTTTGTCCAATATTAAGTTAAAAATTTTTAGCACATTTAAGTACTTTTCGTACTCTTTAACCATGAAAATCCAGACTTATAAGAAACCTACTCACCAAGACTGTCCAGCGTGTAAAATGTCAAGATTCCTGCTTGAGCCGTTTCGCCTGGTCGTTGATGAGTGACTCAGTGAGTCAATCATGTTTTATTAGATATTCCTTCAAATACAATCAAACATATAAATGTGGATTTTTTGGAATATATTTTAAAGGCTTTCTAAAGTGTATTTTTAAAGAATAGGTTTTCAAAGACCATCAGACTTTTTTTATAAATCCTCAAAACCCTTTTTATTAGATTTTATCAGCAACTTTTATAGCTTCAGCATTTTTTATAATTTCTATCTGGATCCAAAGATTTTTTGTGGGCCCCAACATGTTTTTATTCATTTTTTTCGGATCATATATCAGAGTCCTAAATGTAAATATCATTTCTCAAATGTGTCTTTTTATTAATTTCCTCTTCTCAAGGTCTCAAATTTGATTTTTGTACCATTTTTCCGGCTCCCAAATGGATTCTTCAAGATTTCTTCCCAGGGTCCTTCCCAGATTTCTTGAAGGTTCTAACTTTCAATTTTTTTTCTGATTCTCACATGGACCCAAACGTTAATGATTTTTCTGAAGGTTCCCAATTGTAGATTTTTCTTTGACTTTATCAGGGACCTAAACGCGGATTTTTAAATATTTTTTTCAGTAATATTATTTTCTTTTTTGAACTCACATATGCAAGATTTTAGGTTAGGGTCCCAAACGCGGATTTTTAAATATTTTTTATTTTGTGAGGATCTCAAATACCGATTTAATAATGATTTTTTCTGAGTTTTTAAAATCTTACTGGTCCAAATGCGAATTCTTTTTATATTTTTTCCAAGATCTCCGTATAAATTTTTCTCAGGGTCCGAAAAGTCAGGATAACAAAAAGGGATTTCTGATTTTTGAGGTTCCAAAAGAGACTATTATATTCTTTCCCAGAACTAAATGTTGAGTTTTTGTAATTTTTCTTGTATTAAATGTGGATTTTTTAAATTCTTTCTCCCAGGTGCACTAACTTGTTTTGTTTTTTAATTAATCTCACCTCAGATATTTCTTAGAGTCTCAAACACAATTTTTTCCTACATTTTTTATCAGGATCTTAAAAGCGTTTTTTATATTTTTTTCTTGGGGTCCCAAACTTTGATTATACCCTACACCACATAGTGGTAAGGGTATTATGTCTTTGTGCATTTGTTTGTAATATGGAGAAGGAAACGAGATAGACCCATAGTTACTTTTGAGAACCTTCATAGAGTCACTTTCTGAGTCGATTTATGCATGTCCGTCCGTCTGTCCGTCCGTCCGTCCGTCTGTCCAGGTATTCTTGTGAACAAAATGCAGGTCGCATTTATTATCCGATTGAGATGAAATTTTCCAAACAATATTTTTTTGGCCCAAGGACGAAATTGAAATTGGTGAGAAATTGAAATTGGTGAGAATCGGATCAAATTTAGATATAGCTCCCATATATATCTTCATCCGATTTCGGGTTAAATGTGCACCAAATATCCACTATCAGTCCAAATTACCTGAATTTTGGCACACCCAACCGAGTTCGGCCTAGAAGCAAGTATATCAAATTTGGAGAAAATCGGTTCAGATATAGCTATAGCTCCCATATATATCTTTCATCCGATTTGATCTTTAAGTTCCTCACATTCCTACAATGCACTCCACAACCGTGATATTTGGTACCAGGTATTAGATGCAGCCCAGAAATAGATGTTTGTAATTTTATCGAAATCGGTTCAGATTTGGATATAGCTCCCATATATACCTTCATCCGATTTCGGGTTAATTGTGCACCAAATGGCCGATATAAGTCCAAATGGACTGAATTTTAGTACATCGGACCGAGTTCGGCCTAGAAGCAAGTATATCAAATTTAGTGAAAATCGGTTCAGATATAGATATAGCAACCATATATAATTTTCATCCAATTTAGAGTTTTAGTCCCATACATTCGTAATATTCACTCCACAACCGTGATATTTGGTACCAGGTATTAGATGGAGCACAGGAATAGCTGTTTTAAATTTTATCGAAATCGGTTCAGATTTGGATATAGCTCTCATATATATCTTCATCCGATTTCGGGTTAAATGTGCACTAAATGGTCAATATCAGCCCAAATCACCAGTCTAGAAGAAGAAGAAGAATACGTAAAATTTGGAGAAACCCGGTTCAGAGATAGCTATAGTTCGTAAAATGCACGATAGAATTAGATAGATTCTGATTTTGTACCAAATATCTCATAGAGCTCTGAAATGCCCTGTATAAACCTTTTTACGAGAGCTCTACTAAATATGCATAGTGGTGTAGGGTATCATATAGTCGGCCCCGCCCGACTTTTGAGCTTTCCTTACTGGTTTATATTTGTTTCTCAAACAAAAATTTTAAACATTTTGTCTCAGAATTCGAAATGCAAATTTTTAGTACTTTTTTCCTCAACGTCTTACGTGTGCATTTTTTTATGTGTGTTCGCGGAGCCCATTTTGTCTTAGAAACCGAAATGCAAATTTTAATACTTTTTTCCTCATTCCTTATGTGTTTCAAGGCGTCTAATACGATATTTTTTCTCAGAGTCCTCAACTTGAATCTTTGAATGTTGTTCTTAAAAGTATCAGAACCCCAACAAAAATTTTAATTATTTAATTTAATTATTTTTAATTATTTTTTAGGGGTCACAATTTTGGATTTTGTAATAATTTTTGAATTGAAATTCAGATCCACAAATTTCTCTAATTCGATTCTTCAGCAACTACCTAGGGCCCTGCTTCAAATTCAAACCAGTCAGAATTATTCTTTAGTAAAAAAAGTTTTTATTTCTGATTTTTTTGCACTTAAAACAACTTGCTCAACTTAACCTAAAAAAAAACATTGAAATGTTGAAATTCCATATTTTCTTTACAAATCTATCAACAGCCTTATTTTTTAAAAAAAATGGGTAAGGGAAAGTCATGGTATCTAAGGGGTGGAAATCGTCCTTGTTGCTTTTCGCTGGCAGGGTCATAACTCTAAACATTTACTAAACGGAACTCATTAATGTTGTTCCTTCAGCTGTGGTGGAGGATGGGAACGAATGTATTCCAAGGCACGCAAAACGTAGGCCGGAACTGGTGGTGGAGTGGGCAAATGATCTCCGACAGGATGATAACCTTCCTCATCGGCTGTGTAGCTTAGATTGATGTGTTCGCCTTCGGGTGAAACATAATTCACCGAACCACTGATTCCGGCTGGATTTCCCACGGCTTGGACTTGTATGCCATTCGAGGTCTCATAGGCATATTGGAAGTTGCCCTCTGGATCGGCAGCATCATTGGTCAGACTGCGAATTTCGGCATCCTTATCAATGTTTTCGCCAGAAATGACACCAGCCACGGCGACGACAGCTAAGCAGATGAACTGAAAACATGAAAATCGTTTGTTAATGTTACCCATCCCACACACGATGTAGGTCAGTGTTTCAAACTTACCAATTTCATTGTTACTGGGGTTTGTTGTTTTTAATATCGACTGTGTCTTGTCGTTGGAAATTACAATTGAGAACTGTTTAAAGTGATCAACCATTCAATGGTTTTTATACTCTGTATCCCCGATAAGCCAATGCGGAAAAAAGGGGTCAACCCAGCGACAACATATTTTTTGGCATTTTTTGCCAAAAATTCAAAAAAAAAATCAAAACTCACAAAACATGTTTCGTTCATTTTTTGTGGCTAATCAACCAGAAAAAATCCTTTCAGCCAAGATGACTTTGAAATAATTCAGTCTGCACACAGCTGGACAGACGGACGGGAAGTTCAGTTGAACAGACATTTGCAACATCTTCGTTTTGTTTCGTTGTTGCTTTCATTGTTGTCGTCTTTTATCATTGCCATGAATGAACTGAACTTTGGTGAGAGGAGCATCTGAAGTCTGCTGCTGCTAAGGAAGTCAGCAGCTGTCTGCAAAAAAAAAAACAAGTCTTCTTCATTTTTTTGTTTTAAAAGGGATTTTTTAATTAAGTTAACATTACAATATTGCCAAAAATAGCAAGATGTACGCACCATGTTTATGGGGAAGGTTATATATTATATTCATTAATGTACCCTCTGCTCGACGCACGGTAGGGGGTGTTCCATTGTCAATGGGAGCTTTTCAAAATAATATTAACAACTTGGTAGAGATTAAAACCAGTAAAGAAAGTCTTAAACCACTTTGCTAATTTAGTAGAGCTGCGCATAACAATTAAAAGTTTTTATGGGAGAATTCAATCATACACGCTATGATTATAATTTAAAGTTCAAAGGCCTAAATATGCCGAAGCATTTGTTTCTTTTAAATTCGGAATTGTATGGTCCATTTGGTGCACAATTAATTTGAAATCGGGTAAAGATATATATGGGAGCTATATCCAAATCTAAACCGATCTCGATAAAATTTGGTAAAGATATTTCTGAGCTGTATTTGATATATTTCCCTGAATATCGTTGTTACGGAGTGCATATTACGGTTTTGGGTAACAAATACAACAAATCGGATGAATAATATATATGGAAGCTATAGCTATATCTGAACCGATCTTCACCAAATTTGACATACTAGCTTCTAGACTCAATTCGGTCGTAAGTGCCAAATTTCATCCAATTTGGACAAATATCAGACGTTTGGTGCACAATAAAAGGTAAATCGGACGAAGTTATATAAGGGAGCTATATCCAAATCTGAACCGATCTCGATAAAATTTAGCAAATGTATTTCTGAGCTGTATTTGATATATTTCCCCAAATATTGTTGTTACAGAATGCATATTACGGCTGCGGAGGACAAAAATAACAAATCGGATGAACAATATATATGGGAGCTATAGCTATATCTGAACGGATTTCGATCAAATTTGGCATACATATTTTCGGGTGTATTTGCCTAATTTGGGTGTATATGCAAAATTCCATACAATTCGGGCTGATATTACACGTTTGGTGCACAATAAAAGGCAAATCGGACGAAGATATATATGGGAGCTATATCTAAATTTTGACCGATTATCTCCATATAGGGTTCCAATAGGGTTCGTCCTTGGGCCAAACAAATGATTTGTGCAAAATTTCATCTGGATCGGGCAATAAATGCGACCTGTACTTTACAAAAATACATGGACAGACGGACGGACAGACGGACGGACGGACATGCATAAATCGACTCAGAATGTGATTCTATGCAGATCATCAAAAGGAATTATGGGTCTATCTCGTTTCCTTCTGCCTGTTACAAACAAATGCACAAAGACATAATACCCTGACCACCTTGTGGTGTAAGGTATAATAAAAATCTGAACAAATCACATGGAAGCTATAGCTATATCTGAACCGATTTTTACCAAAATTTGAAGTACATGCATCTGGGATAGTGGCAAAATTCTGTCAACTTGGGCTGATATTACCCATTTGGTGGACAATAAACCTGAAATCGGATAAAGATATACATATATGGGATCTATATCCAAACCTGAACCGATCTTGACAAAAATTTAGGCGCATATTTCTGAGCTGTATCTGATATATTAAAGCTCATTATTGTGAAGTGCATATTACACAGGATAAAAGATATACAGGGTGAGATGAAAAAACGGCAACCAACTTCAGACTGCTGTCATGTCCAAGCCACTCGTCCGATAGTTGTTAAAATTATTCCAGTGACAGCTCATTATATTGTTTACAAGCGTACAAAAGCATTTTGGTAAGAATTTTCCAGAAAAAAAGGTATTCGTAATGGAATTCAAGCGTGATAGAGTGATTTCTTTATATTTGGCTGGAAAACCACAAGTGGCTATCGTTAGAGCACTCCAGCATTTAAATGTGAATAAATCTTTTGTGTCTCGTACCATCGCTCGTTACCGTGATACTGGTAGCGAAGCCCGACATCAAGGAAGTGGATGGAAGAAAATAGCAACATCAGCAGAAATGGTTCGAAAAGTAAAGAAGCGACTTGATCGAATCCCGCGTCGCAGTGGCCGATAAATGGCTCGTGAGCTGAACATATCACAATATTCCATTTGGAAAATATTGAAAAATGAGCTCGGGATAAAGCCATTGAAATTCCAAAAAGTGCAAGAACTTACACCGCAACAAAAAAGAAAATAGACTCAAAAGAGCTAAAGAGTTGCTTCGCTTGGCCGAAAGTGGTGAACTGCCTGAACTGAATTTGTTTTTTTTTTTCGATGAGAAATCATTCGTTGTCCAGCAGTTTGTAAACAAACAAAATGGTCGTATTTATTTGCAAAAGGGGTCAGTTGAAAATGTGCACCTTCGCTTGGCCACCATAACACAAGCACCGGATGGTGTGGGCCGCCATAACAGCCGATGGTCGCTCTCCGCTCGTATTAATCGACGTGGCATCAGAATAAATGCCGAATATTATAGCGAAAATATTCTGGAGGGTGTATTAAAGCCTTGGGCACGCAAACATTTTGGCCGCAGACCTTGGACATTCCAACAGGACTCAGCACCATCGCACTCAGCACGCGTCACCCAAGAATGGTTACAAAATGAGGTTACTCGCTTCATTTCCACAGCGCACAATGGCCACCAATCCGTTGGACTATTGTGTCTGGAGTATTTCGGAGGCAAGGTTGGCCCTAAAAAATACCAAAGTGTCGATCACCTCAAGCAAGCGCTTCGCCGGGAATGGGCCAAAATACCGTAGAACAACATTTGGGCAGCGTGTGACGGTTTCATTGGCCGTTTGAAGACCATAATTCGTGTCAAAGGTGACCAATTCGAGCCAATCTAAATTTATTCAAAAATTTGATGCTATTTCCGACATTTTTGCTTTCATTTAATAAAAAAAATGTAAAAACTATGGCGTTTGACTTTGTTGCAGTTTTTTATTTTACCCTGTATTCGGCCAGAAGTGACATTTTCGAGTTTTTGTGATTTCGCAAGGATTTTAGTAGAAATGTTAGTATTTGTATACCCTACACCACATAGTGGTAATGGTATTATGTATTTGTGCATTTGTTTGTAACATGGAGAAGGAAGCGAGATAGACCCATAGTTACTTTTGAGGATCTTCATAGAATCACTTTCTGATTTGATTTATGCATGTCAGTCCGTCTGTCCGTCTGTCCATGTATTTTTGTGAACAAAATGCAGGTCGCATTAATTATCCGATTGAGATGAAATTTTCCAAACAACCTTTTTTTGGCCCAAGGACGAACCCTATTGAAATTGGAGATAATCGATAAAAATTTAGATATAGCTCCCATATATATCTTCGTCCGATTTGCATTTTACTGTGCACCAAACGTGTAATATCAGCCCGAATAGTGTGGAATTTTGCACATACGATCAAATTAGGCCTGAACATAAGTATGCCAAATTTGATCGAAATCGGTTCAGATATAGCTATAGCTCCCATATATATATTGTTCATCCGATTTGTTATTTTTGTCCTCCACAGCCGTAATATGCACTCTGTAACAACAATATTTGGGGCCATATATCAAATGCAGCTCAGAAATACCTTTGCTAAGTTTTATCGAGATCGGTTCAGATTTAGATATAGCTCAAATATATAACTTCGTCCGATTTACATTTTATTGTGCACCAAACGTCTAATATTGTGATGAAATTTGGCACATACGACCGAATCGAGTCTAGAAGCTAGTATGCCAAAATTAGTGAAGATCGGTTCAGATATAGCGATAGCTCCCATATATATTGTTCATCCGATTTGTTGTATTTGTTACCCACAGCCGTAATACGCACTCCTTAACATCGATATTCAGGGAAATATATCAAATACAGCTCAGAAATATATTTGCCGAATTTTATCGAGATCGGTTCAGATTTAGATATAGCTCCCATATATATCTTTATCTTTATAAAAGTCCGAATTTAAAAGATACAAATACTTCGGCATATTTAGTCTTTTGAACTTTAAATAATAATTATAACCATAGCGTGTATGATTAAATTCTCCTCTTTGCTCTACTAAATTAGCAAAGTGGTGTAGGGTATCATAAAGTCGGCCCCGCCCGACTTTAGGACTTTCTTTACTGGTTTACATAGGAGTTATGTTCTATTTTACACGCTAAATATGGTTTGATAACCATCCAAATTAATAGGCTCCTGTTCAGCCCTAAACTCTGACTCCATGAAAAAATCTGCGTCGATTGGTTTATAATTGTATAGAGCAACGGCAATATCAAGCATTTTTTTTTTTAATATTTTGCTATCATCTCCAGAAACAATAAGCTTCTATTCTGTCCCTAACTCCAACTCCATTTCGAATTTCGTGAGGATCGGGCCATAATTACCAGTAGCTTGATTACAAATTAAAATGGACAGACGGACGGACGGACATACATAGCTATATCGAGCCAGCTCGTCGAGACAGAAAGAAACATATATATATGTGCAGAACCAATATTTCGATGTGTTACATAATTTTTGCCCCAATAAAATTTATAAAACCTCCAACACTTAATGTTGTGGGGTATAAAAATTAAATCTGTCACACAATGTAATATTTAAATTGTAAAACCACCACTTGTTAGTTTCTT